ATCTGGAGGCCCCAGAAAGCTGATGGTATAGTCAGGTCTAAACCCAAAGGTCTGAGAACCAGGGAAGCAAATAGTGTCAGTTGGATTGTGTTTAATGTTTGCTATAACTCTAGGTGCCAGAGGTGCTTTTGTCTCCACTATTAACTTCAGGCTTCCCTAAGTATTCCTTCTTAGAAAGATTCTGTGTCTGGTAATTCTTTAGCTGTGGGTCACTGTTATTATAGTGAGTCCTTTGGGTGGCAGTAGTGGGGGTAAAATGTCTATATTTAAATTGAATTAAATTAAATCAAAATTCTATCATCTTATTACTAAACCCCAGTCTTTTCTTGGGCTTGTGTACCTGGGCTGTGACCTTTGCAGATATTTTTTAACTATTCCCTTTCTCCCTTAGGTGAGACAGGAAGGCCAGAGGAGGTGTTTATGAAAATCAAGTGTAAGGAAAAACTGTTTTGAACCTCATTTTATATTGTCTGCTCTTATAAGCAGTGATGGAACCATAGGTGTTGAAAACAGTGAGAAGAACAAGGCTTTCAGGAGATCTAACTCTGAAGAAAGGCTGGAGATGCTGAGATTGCCCCAAACAGAATTCTGGAGCAAGAGTGTGGTGGTTGGGGTGATATGTAGTTATATTAACTGGCTCATGTTTCCTCAATGGGTTAAAAAAATGAACAGGAAAGTCTTGGATTGGGAGATGAAATGCAGGCGAAACTAGAGGAAGGCTCAGATAATTCAAGGACTGGGATAGAATGGATGAGTCAACTAGACAGAAACCATAAGTCATATAAATCATGGTCAGTGAACTAAGCTACATCAAGGTACTGTGAGTGATCATGTGCATCAACTATAACAGAAATTGACGTGTGTGTGACCAATAGAAACCAGCCTATTAGAATGCATTAAGCTTAGACATCACAGATGCATCCTGGCTATTTTGGTAGTTTTGACATTTGACATGCAGAGTGACAAGGATATAACTGAGAACTTTTCCCAACAGCAGAACATACCAGATATTTAAATGTTATTTGTAGCATTTCATGATCCTAGATTAACAACTAATATGGCCAACTGACACCTTCAATTCAACTATAGGCCCCATTCTGTTCTACCCTAACTCAGTCTTCCCTTTTGAATTACCCAAATGTGATGATATTATTATTAATAACCAACCCAGTTTGGTCAAGGTCAAGAACAGGAGAAAATATGCCTCCATGGCTTTTCAAATAATTTGTTTTTTATAATGGAAAAATTCTTCTTCACTCTCATTGTTTTATAGTTATCTCTGATGTGCAGGACAATCCTAAGATTTATTCACATTTTAGTAAGTTAGTTTTTCTCTTTAGAAAGGAATAGATTTTACTGTGGTGAAGAAAGCACATGATGGAGGGAGAACAGAGTAAAGTAAATGGGAAGGGACAGCTATCTTGGGATACAAGGACATGCTGTATAAGAGAGCTGAAATAAAATAAAGCAAAACAATACACTTTCTTGTTCTTTGGGGTGTTGTAAGCAGATAAGTGGTCATGGACACAACTTCTTCAGAGCCTCGTGTTTGAGCTTTACTTGGGATTTGTTTTATCACATGGTTTTGGAGTAAGATGTGACCATTCATTCAAAATATTAAGTGCCTACCATGTGCCAGACACTGTTCTGGGCACTAGGCATATAGCAATGTAGGAAACACACAACAAAAATTCCCTGCTTACAAAGAATCTACATCTTGTGGATGGGAGGGAAAGCAACAGTAAACAAGTAAAATAAATAGTATATTGAATGAGATGGTATGTGCTATGGGAAAAAATTAAATAGGAAAAGGGAAGAGAGTGCTGGGATGGGGTTCTTTTTGTTGTTGTTGTTTTTATTTGCAATTATAAGTTGGTTGGGGAAGCTTTCTCTGATTAGATGATGTTTGAGCAAAGACCTGAGGGCTGTGTGGGAGTGAGCCATGTAGTTCCAAGGAGGGAGAGCATTGCAAACAGAGGGAATAGTTGGTACAAAAGTCCCAAGTCAGGAGAATTCCTTGAATGTCAGGGAAACAGAAAGCAGATCTGTGACTAGAGAGGCATTAGAGAAAGAGTAGAAGAACATGAAATCAAAAACGCTTTAGGTGTCAGGTCATGGAAGACCTTGTAAGTCATTATAGGACTGTCTTTTACTCTAAGTGAGATGGGGGCTATTAGAGAATTTTGAGCAAAGAGGTGACATGAGATGACATATTTTAAAGACTCACTCTACTATGTTATGGGTACATTTTAAAGGTACAAAGGAAGAAGCTACTGGTAGCTTCCAGGAAAGAGTCATGGCTGGCGTGGGGTGGGGGGGAGTTGGGGATGTGGTGAGAGGGTTCACATTCAGATATACTTCAAAGACAGAGCTGACAGAATTTCCTGACAAATAGGATGTGGTATATGAGAGGAAAGAGGAATCAACGATGACTCCAAGTTTTTAGTGTGAGCAACTGGAAGGATAAAGTTGCATTTCTTGAGGTGGGGAAATGGGATCACAACAGGTGTGGAGGAATGATCGTGAGCTTGGTTTAACCTCCAAATATTAGGGTATTGGGAAGATGAAGAAGAACCAGCAGGGACAATGGAAAGGAACAGCCAGGGAGGTAGCAGAAAAATGGAGAGAATGTGGTGCCCCAAAAAGATCAAGTAAAGAAGGTGTTTCAAGGAGGAGGGATTGATCAACTGTGTCACCTATTCAGATGATTCAAGTAAAATGAGGACAGAGAACAGACCTGTGGATTTAGCCATGGAGAATATGGGCAACTCTGGCAATCCTGGTGCCCATGATCATGCAGGATAATACTTTAAGCAAGAAAAGAAAAAAATTAGCTGCATATAATTCCAGATTGAGAAAGGAGGAAATGGGGGTCATTGTCCAAAGTTGAAGTCTATTTGGTAAGGTATCTGTATAGGATAGGTGTGACTTTAGCCCTATCTTATCTCCATGCTCAACCACAGCTCATTAATTATGGTTCAAGTTTGCTAGTGAGTTCAGGGATGGGGTCCATGCCCTCATCATGTAACCTTGAGCCTGTGCCCAAAATGACTTAGATTTTCTCATGATGAAAACAAACATAATGGTCACCACTAAACTAAAATTTCAAAGCCTGGGAATTGCTGGTCTGAGGGAACAGTGTTGGCACTGGATTTTTTTTTGCAAAGGAAAACCACATTCCACAACTATCTTTAAGTCTGTGGAAGTGAGTGGCTCCTGGGTGGTTCAGTCATTAAGTGTCTGCCTTCAGCTCAGGTCATGATCCTAGGGTCCTGGGATGGAGTCCCTCATCAGGCTCCCTGCTCAGCGGAGAGCCTGCTTCTCCCTCTCCCACTCCCCCTGCTTGTGTTCCCTCTTTCGCTCTCTCTCTCTCTGTCAAATAAATAAATAAAATCTTTAAAAAAAGTCTGTGGAAGTGAAAATTCTTAAAAATAGAGAAAAACAAAAACTGCCAATCCAAATGCAAAGGGTAGATTAGGTGGCTTTTGCATAAGTAAAGCTCTGTTAAAATTGTCCATTCTGATAAGAATGGACATTCCTTACTAGCATAATCATCAGCTGCCGTTTGAAATTCAGGAAGTGTTGTAGAGTGAGTGAATAAATGAAATGAATCAAGGAATAAGATTCCTTAGTTGCCTTTCAGGAGCTTTCTCTGACTAATCTAACCACTTACTAATCATTTCTTGTTCCTTTGGCCCTACCAACTCAACTCTAAATTCCTTGAGGATGATAATATGGCATTTATTTCTTTATATTTCTTATCACACTTAGTTCAGTATTAGAGCTATTACTTAATGTATTAGTCAGGGTTCTCCAGAGAAACAAAACCAATACGATATATGTATATTTAAAAGGAGACTTATTTTAGGAATTGGCTCACACAATTATGAAGGTTGAGAAGCTATCTTAAGGCTGGAGAACAGAAAAGCTGGAAGTATGATTTAGTCTGAGTCCAAAGACCCAAGAACCAGGAGCACCAATGTCTGAGGGAAGGAAAAGATGCATGTCTCAGCTCACGTAGAGAGCAAATTCATCCTTCCTCTACCTTTTGTTCTATTCAGGCCCTCAGGGGGTTGGGAGATGCCCACTCAGATTGGTAAGGGCATCTTCTTTACTCAGTCTACCCATTCAAATGCTAACCTCTTCTGGAAATACCCTCAGACACTTCAAGAAATAATTGATTATGAGCTATCTGGGTATCCTTTAGCCAAGTCCAGTGACACATAAAATTAACCAGTACAGGCCCCACTTAGTTAACCATATTTCAAAAAAGCAAAACCACAACAAATAAAATCCTATTAGCTCCCTAATGATGAAAACTAATGGTTGGAAAGCCTTCTGGGTAAATTATCTCACCACATCTCAAGCTTAAGTGGCTTAAAATTTTTTTTACAGGTTAAAAAAAATCTCAAACTACCCTTAACTAAAAAAATGCAAGGAGGGAAAAAATAGCATCTTAATATCTTTAGTGGAGAAATTAAGGCAGAGAAGGGTATCTAGTGTATGGTGGTAGCATTAAAAAACCCTCAAACGCCTAACTACCTTCCTTTGCTGACAATGCACTGAAGTCTAAACCACACCTATACCCAACTTCCCTTCAGAACTTTCTTACTCTTTCTGTCATGTTTTTGACTCTTTGAAACCTCATCTCTTCTATGTGCCTCTATTCTTCTAGACTAGCATTTTTCAGAGCATGTTCCTTGGATTCCTCGGAAGATGCTCTCTGTTAATGACAGAGTTTGCTTTATCTGGGCTTCTGTCTTTATTTCATTTCCCACCAAGCCTGGATTTCACTGATAATCATAATAATGTCCTCAATTCCTTTTACTCCTTGCATATTCCATCCCATCAATCAATCTCTCACTCTAGGTGAACCCTTCTTCCAGTGTCTGTATTCTGCTCTCTGTTTTAGGAATACAGCTGGAGAAAACTGTATGGCCAATCAGATTGGCATTAATGCAAACTCCAACAAGGCATTCCATAATGTTCAGAAACCTTCTGACTTGTCCTTGGTCAGCTTGTTTTCTTTTCCCCCGCAACAGCTATTTTAAAATGTACTACTTTCTTTAGGAATTCTATCCCCTTTCGTTCTTTTCATTCTTAGCCAGCAATGTGTTCAAAGTCTTTTCCTCTTCCAAGAGAAAATAGAGACCATCATCAGAAAGGCATTCTCTCCATTCTCTTCCTGTCTCCCTTAAAAGTTGCCTGGGGGGCAGATCCTGTCCTGTTGTAGGAAGAGGTATCTCCCTTATTTTAAGGTAATTCTTTACCTTCTGTCCTGAGTCTCATTCCTTCTCCCTTTTGCATCTTTAATTTCTCTTTTCTACTAGTTCTTTCTCCTCTAGATGTAGAAATGTCCACAACTTAAGAAATAACTTCCCTCACTTTCACTATCCCATTCTTTCCTGTCACCACTTTCTTCTATTTTCCCAATTCCCTTTGATTTCTTAATCTGTCATAATCTGTTTTCTACCTCCAATGCAATTCTTCTTTTTTTCTGAAAACTACCAAATAACCTCAAAAATGAAAATCATGTAATTTAAACACTTAAAAAAACATAAAATGAGAAATGATTGTTTCTCTTTCTATTCATCTAATGCCCCAGAAATGGATTGACTATATTAGAATATTGACCCTTTTCCTCTCTCTTTTACTCTGTTTTTACATTGTTTATGGTCTCATTTTCTATAGAGAAAATTCTGATTTTCATGTGGTCAATAATATGTTTTTCCCCTTTATGGCTTCTGAGTTTTTTTTCTTGTTTAGGATGATCTATATCTCAAGATTATAAAAATGTTTTACTATTTAAAATATGTTTACATACTTTTTCTTGTTTACTTTCTTATGTCTGAAATTTATTTTAGAATTTAACATTATTTCCTTCTACTTGGATAGCCACTTGTCCCAACTTTAATTTTTATTAAAGAATACATCTTTTCCCACTGAATTGAAGTGCTATTTTTATTAAATGTTAAATTTTTTTTTTTAAAAGATTTTATTTATTTACCTGAGACAGAGAGAATGAGAGACAGAGAGCATGAGAGGGAGGAGGGTCAGAGGGAGAAGCAGTCTCCCTGCCGAGCAGAGAGCCCGATGCGGGACTCGATCCCGGGACTCCAGGATCATGACCTGAGCCGAAGGCAGTCGCTTAACCAACTGAGCCACCCAGGCGCCCTAAATGTTAAATTTTTGAATATACTTTAATTTGTTCTGTAATCTGTTCTACTGACCTATTTTCCTGTGCTGTTTTACTACCATAATTATTTGTTTACATAAGCCGTATGGTACATTTTAATATCTAGGAGGTTAACCCCTTCATTATTGTTTTTTTCATAATTTTCTTAGGAAATTGTTATACATTTATTCTGGGTGATTTTGAGAATTATTTTATCTAGTTCCAACTTCTACTGAATCATCATACCAAAAACAAAATCATATTTTGGGATTCTAATTGACATTACATTAAATTTATACATTGGCTTGAGAATGATAGACTTTTCATTTTCAATCTGAGAGTTATAATGTGTTTCTTCATTATTCCATATTTTCAGTAGGCTTGATGACTTTCTTGTTGAATATATTTTTAGGTTTTTGTCACTATTTTGAATAGGCTGTAAGCTCCCTCCTCACCAATGTCTTCTTTTTGAACTGATCAGTGCTAATACGAAAATGTTAATAATTTTTATATATTTATCTTACTTCTAGCCACATTACTAAATTCTCTAATTAAGACCAATAACTTTTTAGTTGAGACTTTTGTATTTTCCAGGCATGTGCCAAATTCTCTGCAAATAATTATTTTTGTCCTTTCTCCCAATATTTATTGATTTATTTAATATTTTGTCATGTTTGGAAACTACTCTCATCTTTTAGTTGTTTTTTTGCTCAGGAATATCCAATTTAATATCTCAATTTTGGGGTGTGTATTTATGTAATCACTTATTTTTCTCTTTTAATTTTTAATGTAATAAATAATACTAATACATTTCCTAAAATTGGGAAATCTTGCTTTTCTGGAATAAACTTTACTTAGTTACAGAATAACTATTTCAACACATTGCTAGATTTGATTTGTTAATATCTAATCTCAGATTTTAATTTTTATTAATTATAATTGTTCTAGTTTTCCTTATTGGAATACCTTTATTAGTTTTTGGCATTAGTATTATGATAGAATGGATTAGGGAAACGTCTTTTCCCTGCCTCTACATACCCTAAAATAGGATACATGGGAATGATTTTTCAATGAATTTAGAGACAACTTAACGGCAAATCTTCGAATCTGGTGCCACTTTAAATGGTAAAGCTTTAGTATGTATTTTTAAAAATTCTTAGATATTTATGTGTTCTACATATCACTGAGTCAATTTTGGAAACATATTTTGATGGGAAATCACTTGTTTCCTTTAGATTTTAAAGTTTGTTGGCAGGAACAAATAGTGCCAGCTTACTAAATATTTTGAATAAATATTACATACTGCAAGAGGTGCTGCAAAAGGATTTTTCTCATTTTCACTTTTGTGCTTTCTTCACAGTGCTCAGCACCAAGTCATAGAATAAAAAGCACTGTACTTGAAGTCAGATGGCCTGTGTTGAAAGGCGGCTCCACTATTAGCCATGTGACTTTAGGTAAGTTGGACTCTTTGAGTCTCAACTTCTTATTTATAAATGAGGATAATACCTATTTTATTAGGTTTTCATGAGGAACATACAAGATAGTATTCCTGAAATATTTTGGCAAAAAATAAAATGTATAAATGTGAGTTGTTATTATTATGTCCTTCATGAATAATTATTAAATTTTTTATTCTTAATTGAAGTATAGCTGACATGTAATTAGTGAATAATTATTGATTTGTATTGGTTTAATTTAAACATTGCCTCTGTAATGAAAGCATGTTGTAGAATATAATACAAATTGCATTTTTTAGCCACAGGATTAAAATTTTATTTTCAGCTGTAACATTTCTGGAGCCAGCTACAAAATGCCATTTTTCTGCACCTTTTTAGTGGGAGAAATGCCTGGGCTCCTCAGGGGGAGTAAGGAAAAAATTTCTTCACCTCTTAGGACGTGGTTATGGTCTGGATTTCACAGCTCTTGTGAGCTCCCCAGCAGATAGGTTGGGTTCAAATCCTGGCACTGTTTATCTCTGTGCTATTTCTGAATACAGTCATCACAACAGCCAGCTCAACATTTCAGAAAGTTGCAGAAGTACAAGTTTTAATGTAGTCAAGAGACATCTACCTAAAGAGGGATCCAACAATAACATTTGGTCTTGATGTAATAAAGAAAAACTTTATCATTTTCAAGTTGAGCCTGAGAGTGGGGATGAAATGCCTTTAAAGAAATAAGGAGAAATATAAAGAGAAAACCAATTGGGACAAAATGGGTAGAAACTAACAATTTAGGGTGCCTGGGTGGCTCAGTAGGTTAAGCATCTACCTTTGGCTCAGGTCCTGATCTCAGGATCCTGGGATAGAGCTCTGTGTAGGCTCTTGGCTCAGTGGGGAGTCTGTTTCTCCCTCTCCCTCTGTCCCTCCCCCATTCCTGCTCTCTCTCTCAAATAAATAAATAAATCTTAAAAAAAAAAGAAACTAATAATTTTATAGCACTTATTTTGTGTCAGGCACTGACACATTCCAAGTGCTTTGCAAGTATTAATTCATTTAATCTTCAGAACAACCCTACGGAATTGTTATTTTTATTTTCATTTTATAGATGAGGAGACTGAGGCACAGACAGGTAAGTATGTAGTCAGTGGGATAATGAAGATTCATACCCAGACAGTGTGTGTTCAGATTCCATGTTTTTTTAGTGAAAAACATCCTAAATCAAGACTTTTTGCAAGTGGGAAAGCAGATAGATATTGGCTCTCTACAAATCTCATAGCTACAGATTGATTTTTATGTACTCATAATCCTTTTATTTCAGATCAGTGCAAAAAACTGAAATTAATTGACTGGATTGGATAACTGTCCGGAAAATATTTTGTTCAAGGAGTGTGAAGGAATTAGGAACTGCTTACTCTATATTTGATTCTCAGCAGAGTCAGGGGGACAGTAGGGCCTCTGGAATATGGATATAATTATTTGTGAATTTTTCATGAGTAGGCATGAGTTTCTTATTCTGGAACTTAAGAGGGACTCTAAGGAAACTTAAGAGAGTGAGAAAGGAAAACATGATACTAGGTCATAAAATTTTGGGGGGTTCAATGATTGATCTGTGGGTGGGCACCATGACCTTTTTTTCCCTCACACATAGTTACACTAAATATTACCTTCAGTCATAACCAGCTGTATATCAAGAGAGTATATTTATTTTAACCATAAAAAGCAAATTAATGACGTCATATCTAGGTTAATTGATCTTTATAGTCCTCAAGTTCTCTGGCATGGCATGTAGGCCTTCAAATACTCATATCACTTGTTTTCATACTTTCATGCCTATACTACTCCTTTGCCTCGAATACCCTTCCCATTCTCTCTGGCAAGTTTTTATGACTTCATTGAGGCCTAGATAAAATGTACTCTCTACAAAGACTTTCACCACTATTTACAGCACTTAGTCGCTGTCTTCCATACTAATCATATTATTATGACTGTGTTGGTATCAGTATATTAAGCTTTTTTTTAATGATATTTATTTTTCTCTTGTTAATCTTTTCTTACAGCCATCTCATCCAAGAACTCAGAAAGGTAGAGGGAAAATCTCCCCTTTCTTTCTTTTTTTTTTTTTATTCTTATGTTAATCCCCATACATTACATCATTAGTTTTAGATGTAGTGTTCCATGATTCATTGAGGGTATGTGCTCTGGTAAGCGCTGTGAATTATATTAAGCTTTTGTTTCTTGGCTTCCAATTTGCTCTTCAGAGCTGTGCTTTCTGATGCTTACAGTTGGGAAGGTACAAACTGAAATGACAACCATGGACATTTTGTGTACAGTTCCCTGATGTTTTGTATGTAGGTGAAACAGTCACATAGAAGTGACTATCAAATTGAAAGTAATGCAAATAGTGATTTCTAGAATGTCGGATGGTTTCAACTGATGTCAGCTTGGGACTGTTCCCAGCTTTGTGGCAACCCTGTGAAAGAAAGTAGCCTGGTGTGACAATCTGGAACAAAGGGGCAGATTCTGTGGGCCCTTCCCAATCCTATTCACATCCCCAGGAAGGCACTGTGGACCTCACCAGGGGTGTCAGATCTTTCAGTTTGCTGCCAAGACCATGCTCAGGGTTGGATTCATCAGGAGGCAGAGAAGGTGATTAACCATATGTCATGAATTAAGTAGTACAAGGACGTTCTTTGCCTTGAAATGTCTCCCTCCTGGGAAGTATGGTGTGACAGGAATAGCACCCCCTGGCTGTGAACGGAAACAGGCCTGGGCTCACCACTGCGGAACTGCTGTGACTTTAGATGAGCTTTTTAACCCCACTGCACTACTAAGGACTCTGGTTGCAAGTAACACAAACCCAATATGAAAAAGAAAAAAAAAAAAAAAGAGATCTATTGGAAGGATATTGTGAAAGGCTAATGGAGAGATCAGAGTCAAACTGAGTCCAGATCCTGAATTTCATTTTCTTAGTCTGTTTATAATAGACCACTCTGGTGCTGCATCTCCATTCAACTTTCACAAAAGGGGATGATCAACAGATGGGGAGGAGGAGAAAAGCCTTTGATGGACCATGGAAGAAGAAAGCTATGGTAAAAACATTTCCATCTCAAGGCTGATTATGAATCAGGGACAACCATGAATGGGGGCACAGATGGAACTCTTTGGTCCATCTTGACTTAAATTTTGTATTTTTGAGGTCAAGGTTCTTTTTTTTGGCCTATGGATGTCCCATTGCTCCAGCACCATTTGTTGAAATGACTATCCTTTCTCCACTGAATTGCTTTTCCACCTTTGTAAAAAATTAGTTAAGCAATAGGTGTAAGTCTATTTCTGGATTCTCAGTTCTATTTCATTGATCTGTAGGTATGTTTTTCCCTCTGCTGGAGTCGCACTGTCTTGATTACTGTAGCTATATAATAAATCTTAACATCAGAAACAATAATTCCTCCCACTTTATTCTTTTTGGAAATTGTTTTGGCTAATATAGGTCCTTTGCCTTTCCATATAAATTTCGGAATTTCCTATGTCTACAAAAACACCTTGCTCGGGTTTTTGATAGGAATTGTGTTAAGTCTATATATCAATCTGGGGAGAATCAACATCTTAATTATGTCAAATCTTCCAATGTATAAACACAATCCTTAAATCTATGAACTCTCCAATAAACCTGGTCTTCTTTGATTTCTTTCATTACATCTTGTAATGAAAAAAGTACAGATTTTGTACATGTTTTGTTACATTTATACCGAAGTATTTCATTTTCTTTGTAAGAATTTTAAACGACATCATGTTTTAAATTTTGGTTTCTAGATATCCATTACTGTATAAAGAAATGCAGTTGATTTGGGGCATTGATCTTATAACCTGGCTAACTAGTTTTAGAAAGTTTTTAAAAACATCTTAATTGTGGTAAAAATCATATAACATGAGATCTGTCCTCTTAAGTTTTTAAGTGTGCAGTACAGTATTGTTTACTATAAGCACCATGTTGTATAACAGATCTCTAGAACTTGTACATCTTGCATGAATGGAACTTTATACCCGTTGAACAACAAGTCCCAATTTCCCTTTCCCACAGCCCCTGGCAACCATAGTTCTACATTATGCTTTGGTGAGTTTGACTACTTTAGAAACTTCATATAAATGGAATCATGCAGCATTTGCCCTTCTGTGACTGTCTTATTTCATTTAGCACAATGTCCTCAAAGTTCATCTATGTTGTAGTACATGACAGAATTTCCTTTTTTTTTTAATGGCTGAATAATATTCCATTGTATGTAGACACTACTCTTCTTTATCTATTCTCTGTTGATGGACATTTAAGTTGTTTCCACCTCTTGTCTATTGTGAATAATGTGGCAACAAACATGGGAGGTTCTAATTCCAGTTATTTTGGGTAAATACTCCAAAGTGGGATTATTGGATGATATGGTAGTTCTATTTTTAACTTTTTGTAGAATCTCCATAATGTTTTCCATAGCAGCTGCACCATTTTACCCAACCACACACAACAATTTTGATTTTTCACATCTTTGCCAGGAGATTTTTGTTTTTGTTTTAATTGCTTTTAGTTTTAGTTTGTGTGTATGCATGTGTGTGTAGTGTGTGTGTGTGTGTGTGTGATGCCTTGGGATTTTGTACATATCTGTACATGCATATGCACACACATACACACATATATATTAGTTGGACATGGTGGCACTTTACCTACAAATACTTTATCACATATATATTGATTAGAGGTATATTCAACTATGTAACTAATTCTACCATCACACTTTGGAAATTAACAATTCCTTAATATCAACTAATATCTAATCCATGCTGAAATTTCCTCAGTTTTTCTTGGTGATGTCTTTTATTGGGATTTCTTTCAACCTCGGATTCCATGAAGTTTCATTTGGTTATTACGTCTCTTCAGTCTCTTGCTGTAGAATAATCTCACTAACCCTTTTCCCTGTGACATTGACTTTTTGAAGAAACTAGGCTAGTTATCTAATTATAAGATATTTCAC